GGGCGGGCGGCGGGAGGGCGGCGGGCGCGGAGGGGAGCGCAGCCGCCCGCCGCCGTTTCATAGCCGCCGGGAGGTTTGCGGGGCGCCCGGGCCAGCTCCGGGTAGCCGTGGCCAGTGTATTTACTAAAAAGGTGAGGTAGATGGGAGGCCGGCAGCAGGGCCGCGGCCCCCGGCCGCAGAGCTTTCCGCCTGATTGGCAGCAGCGGCCGGGGAGAGTCATTCAAACCCAGCCAAAGTTTGTTCTCCTTCCAGAAGCCGCGGAAGGGGTCGGCGGGCGCCCGCTCCGGCCGCAGCTCGCCGCCCGCCAGGGCCCGGCCGAGCTTCCGCCGCTTTGTCCTGAGGACCCGCTCGGTTTTGCAGGAGGTGTAGAGCGCTTCCACGTCCTCTCTGGAGATGAGCGTGCATTTGGCGGCGTGGAACGCGATGGAGTTGATGGCTTTGAGTTTCCTCAACTCCTCCAGGTCGCAGTGGTGCTTTTTGACTTTCAAATGATCCATTCGCTTGTGCACGGTGGTCCGCGGGATGTTTTTGAGCAGGTCGGTGAAAACCTGGGAGAGTGCAAACATTTGCTTTCCTTTAATGATGAGGTAGCCGAGCCGCACTCCATCCACCTCTTCAAACCCCGACTTCAGGTCTCCCATTTCGCGAATTAAATCATTCCCGGCATTTGCGGAGAGAGAGAGAGAAGAAAAAAAAAAAAAAAAGGAAAAAAAAAAGGGGAAAAAAAAAAAAAGAAAAAGCCACACACACACAATCCTCGGCCAGATGCTGTATTTGTCTCAAGGCATCCTGCTAACAGAGCGCAACAAAGGCTGCTGCTATTCCTGGTGGGTGAAGTGCCAAACTTTAGACAAAATTTAAAAAATAAAAATAAGTTAAAAAAAAAAAAAAACCACCACCGTGAGGCTACAATCAATATGTAATCTTAAAAATCAGCTTTGCCAAAGTGTTTCTCTAAGTTGCTGCCGCAGATCAGTACCTGTTCCCTTTCATTCCCTGCTTTTCCATTGGAAACTATGATAATGGAATGTGAAGGGAGGAAGAGAAAAGCAATGCAGCTGCTATTCCCGCCGCTGCTTTAGCTACAAATAAAATGACAGAGTGAAGTGAGCTCGTCCGGAGACACCTTCATCAATTAATTCCCCTAAAGCCAACGCTGATTGGACACTCCTGACAGGTGATGCAATAAAAATTGATATTCCACCCCTTCCCCCCAAAAATCTCCCGCTAATTAGCATACCCTCATACCGCCGCCTCCCCTCCCAAAGTAAATAATACAGTTCGCAGATAAATCTTTCTATTAAACAATCCGGGCTCCAGCACGCTCCGACCTCTCCGGCTTGCTCCTCGCTCGCTCCGCACGAAGGATTTCGGTGCTTTTTCGTAGCGTTTCGTATATTTTTTAGGCTATTTCGGACCAACGTTGCTCTTTTGTGCGCGCCGTAAGTGTGAGGGACGGAAGCGTGAGCGCGGCGGTGGGAGATCCTCCGCGAGCGCGGCCGTTCGGCAGCGGCGTTCGCCGCGCATTGTGCGGCTCCGCGCCCCGGGCCCGGCGCTCCCAACTTCGAGGCTCGGAGCGAGGAATACTTACATGTGCGGGCCGCTCCGATTTTCCTTTCCTGCGCAATTCGCTCTGTGCGGCCGGGGCTATTTTGCTGCCCGCACCCCGCGCTGCCCGAGCGCTCGAAGCCGCGGTTCGAATATTGCGGGAGGGGGAGGAGGACGCGGGCTGGCGTCAGCCCCGTAACAAAGCATAGAGAAGGCAGAAAGGCGCACACTTCCCCCAGTTAACCGTGCCGGATGGCGAGCTGCGGTGTGCTACGGTCCCGGAGCCCGCGTCGGGATTGCTGCGCGCCGATTGCTTCCAGCGGAGGAAGAAGGCGGAATACCCCGGGTGCTTCCAGGGCTCTACGTAACAACACCGAGCGCTGCGCGCACCGTGAGCGGGGCTGCGAGGGGCTACGGAGCGGCTGCCCCGCTCTGGGCATGGCCGGGCCGGGGCGGCACCTCCGCGGCCGTGCGGTGTTCCATGGGAGCAGCCCCTTAACATCAACGTGAAGGTTTAACCTCTTCTTGGGAATGCGGAATTATTGCCGTGCGAGGAGCGATGGTTCCGGACTCGCTGCCCCGCCGCACGCCGCTCCGTGTCACGTCCAAGTGATGCTCGCGGTGTGTGCTCAGCCGCGGGCACGGTCGTGTGGCCCGGAGTCACACGTATCCGCGAGGGGAATGACACATCCTGGAGTGCTGGGGCTTGGCAAGGGGAAAAAAAAAA